TGCCCCTCTCCTCCCCCATCCTGCCCCTCTCCTCCTCCATCCTGCCCCTCTCCTCCTCCATCCTGCCCCTTTCCTCCTCCTCCATCCTGCCCCTCTCCAGCCCCAGGTCCCTCTCATTTTCCCTGGATTCTCCTTCCAGCCCAGGAACTGGAGCTCAGGATTTGGGCCCAAACCTTCACACCTGGGCCTGGGAACACCCAGATGGAAAAAACCCTGGAAACTTCCCATGCTTTGAGGGCACCTCCCAGTGAGATCAGCCTCCCCATCCCAGGGGATGTGTTTGATTTTTCCTCCCTTCTCCCTCCAGACGACGTCGTCTCCAACTATTTCACCAAAGGGAAGAGAGGGAAACGCTCTGGGATCCTCCTCATCTTCTCCTTCATCAAAGAGGCCATCCTGCCCAGCAGGCAGAAGATCTACTGACCCCTGGAACTGTGAGAGCTCCAGCCTTCCTCCATGCCTCTGGGAAAGGATTTTCCTGGGAATACATACACAAGGAGATGGCTGGAGGTGCTGTTGGCACTGGACAGACACCTGGGGAGGGCTGGTGCCTTTTTCCATGGCTCCCCTGATCCCCTGGGACTGTGTGCAAGGAATTTTTGGCTCTAGCTGAGCACGAGGAGGGTCCAACCCCACCCTGGTGCTTCCCACCCTGCCTGGAAACCTGGGAAGTGTTGGCATCTCCTGGGATTTAAAGGCAGGGCTTGGTGTGGCTTGGCTGTGGGGGAGCTGCTCCCTCGGGGCACGTGGTGGGGGTGACCTGAGGTTTGCACAGAGCCATTAATTAACAACAAATAAATAGAATCAAGGATCCCAGGTGTCCCAACCCTCGTGTGTTCCCAGCTGGAGGAGGAGCTGGTGCTGGGAGGGGAGCAGGAGGGTGGGCTCCTCTCCCTGCTCTCCACAGGGACCTGACCTGGAAGGACTTGACGTGGCTTCTGTTTGATTTTAACCTTGGAAAAAACCCACTTTCCTCTTTGGGTTTGTGGGAAACCCCCCAGGAGTGACCAGCTGGGAGAGGCCATTCCATGGGGAGGGATTCCCTGCTCCACCCCAGCATTCCCAGGGCTGCTCCACTCCCAGGCTCCCTCCCTTCCTCCAGAGAACGACAAGACCTGATGGCACCAGGAAAGAGATGAACCTTTTGTTCTTTGTTCAGAAAAAACCCCTTTTCCCCCTTTTTTTGCTCAGCCCTGGTCACCTTCAGCCTGTGCCAGGGCTGGATCTCCCCGTGCTCACCAGGACACACAACTCCACACTTTGGGAAGGTGTTTTTATGAGGAGTTTCTGAGGAAAAGGGCTCATGTTTGGGGCAGCTCTGGCTGGGGGGGGGAGCCCGGGCAGGGTTTGGTGCTGATTCATGCAGATTTGGTTCCTGTCCCAAAGCTCCTGGTTCTTAAAGAGATGAACCTTTTGTTCTTTGTCATCAGAAAACCCCTTTTCCCCCTTTTTTTGCTCAGCCCTGGTCACCTTCAGCCTGTGCCAGGGCTGGATCTCCCCGTGCTCACCAGGACACACAACTCCACACTTTGGGAAGGTGTTTTTATGAGGAGTTTCTGAGGAAAAGGGCTCATGTTTGGGGCAGCTCTGGCTGGGGGGGGGAGCCCGGGCAGGGTTTGGTGCTGATTCATGCAGATTTGGTTCCTGTCCCAAAGCTCCTGGTTCTTAAAAAGCCCACGGGTGAATTTCTCCTTATGGGAGAGCTGGGATCCAGTGCCATCCCTCTGGCTCACATTCCAGCATTCCCAGCTCCTTTTCTCGGGTGGGTGTTGTGTGAGGAGCTCCTCCCTCTGCCCGTGCTGATCGGTTCTCTAATGGTTTGTAGGGAAGTGATGGGGGAAGCAGAGACCCGGGGAGGGGAGCAGGGAGCTCCTGGCAGGGGGAAACTCCTGGAAAAGCTCTTCCCAGAGATCCCAGACCTGTCATTTTGCTCCAAGGCCACAGGGTGGGGGACGCCGGGCTCTGTTTTGGCTCCAAACTTGATGCCAGAGGGATGGGAAAGGTCCTTGGGAGCCACCACTGGCACTGGGGACAACAGGGATGGCCCTGGAGTCTGGGCTCTTCTTTTTTGCAGCAGGAAGAGCAGAGCTCCAGGAATCCTGGGCCATGAATCCAGATGGGAATGGGAAGATCAGGAGCTTCTCTGTCCCTTCCACTCCCTTGAATCCCGGTGTTCCCGGTCACGTACCCAGCAGGTGGGAGTGGATCAGTGTTACTTCTCCAGGTGACAAGTCCATCCCCCCCTCCCCAGAGCCCCTCAGGTCACCGTGGGGTGTTGAATGACACATTTCCTGGGCTGGAGTCTGACAGGAGGGAAGCCTGAGGAATATTTATGAGGAAAAAAAACCCTCCAACCCCCAGTTCTTGGCCCTGAAACCCCAGGATCTTGGGAAAGCTGGGAAATAGGGACAGGAAATCTGTTATTCTCTGGGATGAGACAAGGAAGCTGCAGAGTCCAGCCCGGGGGTGAAAAAAAGCACCCAAAAAAAACCCCAAAAAGTGGGAATTGGCACTTGGATGGAGGGTCTGGGGGTGTGTGAATCCCTGGCTGCTCCTGCTGTGGAGGCTCCAGCTCAGCCTGAGGTTCCTGTCCCGTGGGAAAGGAGCTGGGATTGATTGTCATGGAGGGTGGGAGGGTGAAATGAGGGGAGAGGAATCCACTGGATG